TGGTGAGTGTGTGTTCCTGTTTTGTTCCACTGTGTTGGGGTGATGGTTCCATCTCTTGTTCCATTGTGGTGAGTGTGTGTTCCATTCTTGCGGTCCCCTTGTTCCATCTTCCATTTTAGGGGGTGATAGACAGCAAAGTTGTGGATAGCAGCATCCCTGGTGACGAGGATCTCCCCGCACAGGGCATCTCTGTGCTCCACATATCCAGCCAGAGCCAGGTGGCTCATGGCCCTTCCCAGAATTCCCTGCACCGGAGCATCAGTCAGCTCCTTGACACTCATGACAAGAAGTCACTGATGGATGATGGGCTGTGGGACACAATGGTGCACGGCTATGACAGCGGCATGGTGAGACACTGTTATGTTAGAGGGTAACAAGCTGGCCTCTAACAGTTAAACTTCATGACTTGGTGCATAATAATGAATTAGGGTGAGTAGTTTTTCCAGGCCCAACACAGTGTGAGTCTCCATCCTTGCTCTATATAAGTAGACCTTGCATGTTCTCCCTGTACCATTGGGGAGTTTGCTCCAGGTTCTCATGTTTGTCCCACCCCAGTCCAATAATATGCTAAGGTGAACTGAAGTTGCCAAATTGCCCATAGGTGTGAATGTGCATGTGAATGGTGTGAGTGCCCCGCCTTGTGCCCATCCTGGGTTGTTCCCTGCCTTGTGCCCATAGCTTCTGGGATCGGATCCAGACCCCCGTGACCTTGCATAAAACAAGTGGGTATAGAAAATGAATGTACAGGTGGATCATTTTACCACAGCGTAATGTTGATCATCTTTTCAATGGTGTTTCAGTTTATGGAAGACGAGGTGTTTGTGGAAACTATCAAAGGCTTCAGTACAGTGAGGAAGGAGCACACCATGTTTACAGACACAAACTTGTAGCAGAACTCCATGCGAATGTGAAATTAGACTCAAGTGGTCACTCCACCTCCCCAAAAGAACATCACATACTGGTGCTGTCAAGTCCAGCTTCAGAGGCTGGCACTGTGTACCCTTGGAAACGACTTTCCCGGCCTCTGATTCGCCAAGCACCTGGAGGTGTACAAAGAAACTCTCAAGGACGTATCATGGAACTGGGGGTGATTTACCAGATAACTGAGACAGCAAGAGACCTTTATTCATATGCAAAGTAGTGCCTTTTAGAGGGAACAATTGGACAATTGCTTGAGGTCCTTCATGATGGTTTGTTTATTGCAGAAAAGCCAATTTTTTTCAATATATCTGAATTTCATTTTTGTATCAAGTGGCAGTATTAACTGTATTTTAGGTAAGTTTAATCATCACAGGCTTTTTGTTATTTCTTGTTTTATTTTAATGACTTTTATTGATGACAGATTTGTACTGATCCACGCCACAGGGAGAATCGCTGATTTGGTATATAATTTGTGAAGAAGAAATAATAAGGTGGCATTTTTTTCTTGACAATTTTCTTCCTCATCCTTTTATGAAGAATTGCAGTTGGAGAGTGAGCAAAACATGTGAATTGACTTTCCTCTTTTCCTGTTACGAGGGCTTCAAATATATCTACAAAACAGTCGGACAACTGGACTGCAGCGTCTAGCTTTGAGGAAATACTGTGACGAGGACATATCCTGCAAAAGCATGCTGTTAGTCATGCCGTAGGGAAAGCTGTCTATGAGACGGCGCTTTGTGATTAACAGTACATGGATAGGTAATAAGTATATGCTCCCTAAAATAGTTCTGGAATAGTTCATATTCACGTACAATTTAAACGTGTGGCTTGGCCAAATGTATACATATCATTCATGTGTGTGTGAATTCTTATTTTCATGGACATTTTGCAATGTAACTTAAATGCAAATACAAATTCAAAAAGAATAAGAGCAAATGCGAAAGGAAACATCACTCTTTATGAGTTATTTGTTTGCAAACCAACAATTGTGTGAAGTTATAATCTTTCGTGTTTGAAATTCCAATAACAGCATTTTGGACTCCAAAATATCAGCCGGGTCATTTTCTAATCATATCGGTCTGGTTTCAGTGGGTCTCTTTCTAAACATTCCTGAAAGATATTTAGCAGAGTCTATTGGGTGTATCTCTATATAAATCTAAAGAATTGATGAACAACATGTATGTCATGCAGAAAACAGAGGCGATGGATTCAAATAATTGCCCATATATTAATATTTCCCATGCTTGTCAGTTTTACAGCTGTACCTAAAAACGGCATGTTGATTCACTGCAGTGTCCTAATGGCGTGGTACAGAAAGATGCATAAAATACCTTTGCACGTTTATGCGCAATTAATGTCCATTACTATTCCGTCTATAGTAGAATTCCGTCGATAGTAAAATTAGTTGTATTTAGTTATTATTTACAGGAATGGTTTTGTCTGTTCAATTCCCTACAGTCGTGTTAACATTTAAAGCCATCAAAGCTATGATGTAAGTAGGGCTCTGAGATTTTAAATATGTTTCAACACTAAAATATGTCATAACTGTAAAATCTGGCAAGCGTCGTCGTTTTTATTGAATGTTCACAGCAGGGTTGGCCCCTGCTGAAACACGTTTATCAGGCTGGTAAGAATTACGGAGGTGCTCTCTGCCAAAGGCCTCACATCACTTTTGTGATTTATGATCACGGGGGTTTTCCTTGCATTTTTCATACATTACGAGCATGTAAAACATAGTGCATTTATACACCCTGTTGCGTGTTGTGGCCTCACGCGACCTGCGTTGCAGCTAAAGATTGCGCTCGCTGCACACATTCTGTCTATCTGCAGCCAAAACGATCTCAGATAATCATGACATCTGGCTCTCCTGGGGCAGAAGAAGCATGACTGGAAATAATTTACATTGGTGGTGGATTCCCCTGCCTGTGCTCTCATGCATTTTGGCTTTTTTTTCTGGGACAGAAAAAGGAAAGTGCCGCAATTCTGGTGTTCAGGTGCAAACTCTCAGCTGTCCTGCGTTATGGGAGTGCTAATATTAACATACCACCATATTCGCATTTCTCTAGGAAATACAGAGGAAAGTGAGGAAAATACACACATTTTCCCCTCAATCCTAAAAACACGCTTGCTAATCGAACCCCTCAGATTTAAGGGTACAAATTGCCTAGCAGTTTTGTTGAGTGCAATGGACACAAATACCAAAGAACACACCCAGAAAAATAAATACAAGTGGAGATAAAATCTCAATCTTGACATGCATTCTGCACACAGACCAAACGATTTTTCAAAACCAGATTCCTTGAATGAGCATTTATTGCTTCTGTAGCTGGTGTTTATGTCTCATTATATTTTCAAAATTTACTTTTGAATGGAGCAAAACTATTTATACTTGACAAAAGAGGTTAGTGATTACAGATTACGGTGGTCAGCTCTCATCCAGCTGTCTAATAAATCAATTAAATATTGATTCAAGTCCTCTTGTCTCCTGGTCATTCTAAATATTTTTAAATTATGATTGTAAGAAAAGGAAAATACAATACTGCAAATGTATGAATGGTTGTTTTCCATTTCCCTAACATTTTATTACTGTGGTTCCCGATCCAGTCCTCAGGGACCTACAGTCAGTCCATGTTTTTGCTTCCCCCGAGCTCCTTGTAGAGAGCAATAACATGGACTGTCTGTGGATCCCCGAGGACCAGATTGGGAAACACTATTCTATTGTATTAATCTTTACAGTGTGTAACACAGAGAGTGTATCAATGGTGGTTTCAGTAGCTACTAAAGTTACAGTTGGTAGTGACATCATTGCCCCTAAGGTACATTTTCCCCAGAAGTCAGTACAAATGATGAAATCTTTTGGAATACAGTCAGAAGGTCTGCTTGACTCCAACGTCTTCTGCAGTTAAAGCCGGAAAATAATACTAATGACAAAACTCATTATGTCTTTTTTTGAGCTAGTGGGTAAAACGAAGTAGGCACGTGATTCTGCATTGATCATTTTTAAGAACAGCTCTTCTTGATATGCCTCAAGGAGCATGACTCATACGGCAGGAATCCAAGTCATAAGGCAGAACATACCCAGCATCCAGAGGGGTGTTCCACAAAGCAGGGTTTCTCAGTTAGCTGGGTTAACTTAAAGTTTACCTGGGACTTGACTTGGCATCGGGGCTAAAATACTCGAGGCTATAGCCTGAGTGATCGGACCTAATGGCGCCCATGGCCCTCTACCTACCGGCCTATGATCAAAAGGTTGTACGTTTGAGTCTGGCTTCAGCAATATGCTCACGTCTGTGGGCCCTTGAGCAACACCCTTAACCCCCAGCTCCATGGACGTTGCTGCAGGAGGCTGCCCTTCACTGCCAAGCTTGCTCTCACCTACATACACTGTTGCTAACTCTCACGCATCTGGCGTGACACTAACATTTTCAGACTTTCAAGCTCACACAAGAAATCTTATCCCAAATCTATATTATTCCATTATAAACCTAAAATTACCTGCATCAAAACCGCTGAGGTAGTTTGCAAACCCCTACAGACTGTTTCCAAGGTATTAAAACTGTTGCATACATGTAAATTCGAGTGCATGTGTGTGCAGACTTGTCTCGAATTGAAAATCTCACATCAGTCAGCTGACCTACGTTGGCAACACTGTACCAGTGTGTCATGAGGAACAAGATGGGGTAAGTGAAAAGATAATTTCAAAGCAACAAAGTGTCATTATTATTAATCTTTTATTTGACAACCATTACTTCCATCTTAAGTTAACCCAGCCAACTGAAAAATCCTGCTTAATTACAACATTTACTCGTGGACAGAAACATACATTCTGACATCTACACATAAATTTTAACATTTTAATTATCAGGTATTAGAAACTGACACTGGATCAGTATAATCATCATCACAGTTGTGTGTTTCACTGATAATGAATCAGTTTTTTGGAGCAGGAAGTGACCAGTGCAGCTGCTTCTGCCGGTTTGTAGTTTCTTTAAGTTTTTGGACCAATGAAATTGGTCTTACGCCAATCACAACTTCGGAGTGCAAGAAATCTGGAATTTGATTGGTCAAATTAAAAACTCAGACTAGCGAAGTTACTGAATGGCGCTGCTGTGTTCATTTAGCGGTCGCCATTGTAAGGCTCTGTGTAAAACGTGTTCTGTCGGCATATAATCGGTTGTAAGAAGGGCTTTAGCGCGTTCGTCCGTGCTGAAATTCTGCTGTGATCACGTACAGGTTTAAACTAGTGATAAGTTTATTACAAGTGGTCCTCACGGACGACTAGAACGGCAGTCTTGCTTGCTAGCTAACGGTCAGCCTGAATTTAAATACGGAGCGTCGCCCGGACAACCGTGATGATTGACAGGGCTAGTTGGCGAGCGGAGAGTTTAATTTCGTAAACTTTTTTTTTAATCTGTGCGCGAGCACGGTCAGGTGACCTGGACATAGCCAACGAGGGAAAGGCAGCCTCCGTCAAACTTCCTGGAAGTGCGTTTTAACTCAATTTAGCTGCTTGCTTGCCTGGTTGGCCGTCAGCTCGTCCATCGGGCCATACGCTCGGTTTGACTGACAGTCACACTTCTCCGTGGGAAACCTGGATCCGGCCGGCGTCAGGACCGAAGAAGATACAAAAATAATAGACCCCGGACCTCGTTGAAGGTTTTCCCTGTAAGGTAATGATTTGCCTAGTGTGGCTTCAGTCGAGTCCTACGGCAGAAAAGACCACTTCAGCTGCGGACAAGGGCTGCCCAGCCCAGGCCCCCCACATCTATCGGTGTAATGCGATGGGGCTGGTTTATAATAGGATGAAGTAAAATCTGTAGGGAGTGTCGGAGTTGCTCCGCGCCGAGGTGTTGATAGCGGTACCCACCGTAAGTAACAAGTTGCTTATGGTGAGCTACGGTGCCGATGCTAATGCGTTAGCTAAGCTAGCCGAGTGAGTGTGATGACGGGGGGTAGACCGACTGCAGGTTGGCGGCGCCGAGTGGCCGGTCGCGCTAAACTGTGAACGCAACTCTGTACGGAAAACTGTGTCCATTGTAATAACTGAAGGTAACAAAGTTGTGTTCATAATATAGGTCACATCAAACGAGTTGGTAGACAGACTTGGCTGCGTAACTTAAAAGGAAAAGTTAAGTTTTGACGCTGGAGCTCTATGTCCAAGGCGTTTAACATTTTTCACCCATTTGTTCACATGTATGCTGGATCACTTCAGAAGGACTTTGCTTAAGGTTACTGCGACTGCGGCAAGATCCCTTCCGACTGCTAGAAAAAGGATTTATAATAGTACCCGACAGTGGGTCGACAAAGGGCAGGAAATTGTTGCAGTAATCTTGTATTACATTTTGTAGCAGTAGTCGTCCCAGCAAAGAGCTGTAAAAAGCTGTGGTTAAAAGTAAATGTATCCATTTTGGGGTGCGTTATTTAAGCTGAAAATAAGTGAAATGAAACATACAGATGAGATTGCTTAAGTTGTGTGTCTGGTTTATTTGTAAACTCATAATCCCCCCACACCCCCCTTCACACGCACACATGCAGGCGCAGTGATATACATGTAGAATTCGGTTCGTTAAATGGATGCATGGTGCTTTCCTTTCCCATTTTTGCTGGCTCCAGGTCTCCAGTACGGACGGCTTTTCGTGTGACTCTGGGAGGATAGTCCAGACCGGGAGAGATGTCGCAGGGAGACGGGAAGCCGACTCCGGGCCTGGACGGCAAGCCTGACTCCACAGCATCCGCTCAGGGAGTCTCTGTGTCTCCTCCCGTCTCTGCCGTGGCTTCTGGGCCCCCTGCTGCTGCGACTGAGGATGAGGAAGAGGAGAGTGAAGATGAGTCTGAGATCCTGGAGGAGAGCCCATGCGGCCGCTGGCAGAAACGCAGAGAGGAGGTGCTATTTCATTGTTCTTCCTGGTTAATTTGATCTAGGTTATTTAGTAAGGGTCAGTAGAGCTGTGCTAAACTTCTTACTTAGTGCTGCAGCTGACTAGTATGAGGAACCAGTTAGTTGTTAGGGGTCTTGTGTTGCTAAGTGGGTTAAGTAGCGGTGCTTGTCATTGGAAGGTTGCTGGTTAGAATCCCAGAGTTCTCCCTAAATTTGCAATTGTGGCACATTGTTCATAGCCTCAGTTTTGTATTGGTTCCACAGAATTATGCTCAACAAGTAAGTGTCGTTTCCGCAGCTGGTAAAATGCAGTCTACACAGCTTTTGGTTCACTGAAGCGTGTCCACCTCCAGGTGCACCAGCGCAACGTGCCTGGGATCGACAATGCCTACCTGGCCATGGACACGGAGGAGGGCGTGGAGGTGGTGTGGAATGAGGTCATGTTCTCTGAGAGGAAGAACTTCAAACTGCAGGAGGTGGGGCATACAGCACGCACATGGGCCTGTCACTGCTCACTGTGGCGTTTAGAGGCAGTCTAGCACTCTCACAAAGCTCTCTGCCTTCTAAACTTCCGAGGGCATTCGGTTTGTTTACTTATTGTCAAGACAAGGCCTCTGCGGTCTGAATGGCATGCTCTAAAAATAAAACTGTCTTCTGCTTCATCTAAATTTGCTTGGAATGCTCGAACAAGGGACAGTCTTAGTTTGGTGTGGCGCTTAGTGCAGTCTTTCTCAAACCAATCCTCGGGGGCGACCCGACAGTCTACGCTTTTGGTCTGTTCCAGTTCTCTGAGTTTTGGGGGAGAGCAAAAACGTGCACCGTTTCGGGGTCCCCAAGGACTGGTTTGAGGAAAAACTGCCTTAGAGGACATCAGGAGCCTTGTGTTGGTTTATCAAGGCAGACAGACGACTTCTGTCAGGTTTTGTATAATAAACAGTCTTTGGTCTGTACAGGTAGAATGGTGTAATTCAGGGAGGGGCAGGGGGTGGAACAGTGCCACAGTCTTAGGGATTCGTTTACACAGCAGGAAGAAGGAAGTCCAGTTTGAAGATAACAAAGAATTAAAAACAACAGTTTAGTCAGGAGTCTGCTTTGGCGTGGCTGTCGACTTGTGTAGAAGGTTCTGGGTTCTGTTAAGGACTCCATATCTCTGAGCTGTAAGTAGCAGAACCTGGGTGTCTCCACATAGTGTTTTTCCCTCACGGAAACGCTCCCCACAAAGTGCTAAGCATCTGATGCTTCTAAGCCCAGCCTCAACTCTACATGGTACCCCAGTTAACAACATTTACAAGCAGGTTGATGCTTTCCTGAAGGGATGCCTTTACCTTCTGTGAATTTTGTGAACAGAGCTTTAAACTGCCATACTGCTTTAGGGAGCTATTTAAACCAGGGTCAGTTGCTTGAAGCAAGTTATAAACGGCATTGCTGTTGTATTTTTAATGTGGTGACATTAAGGTCCGAAACATACTTTCTTTTTTTTCTTACGGCAATGAATGTGTGTAAACTCCCAAAATTTTAGCCGGTCTGGTTTGGTGGTGTGTGTGTGTGAGAGGGGGGGGGTTGAAAATGCACCTTGCTTCGAGGTGTTTTTGCAGTATAGCACTCTGACCGGTTTCAGTAGGTTACCCTCTGGGTTCCAGTGTTGGACAATATAATTTCTGCGAGTCATAGTTAGTGTTTAACTCCTGTCACTCAAACTTCAAAGGTGTTTTTCCCCAGTAATTCCTGAGCTTTAGTTCAAACCTGATGATTCGAGCTTGTCTCAAAATGCCATTTCAAGCAAAAATGGAGCTACTCAAGAAGTTGTTCTGCCGTATGTGTAGTTGGCATGTCGCAGCACCATCTGCTCAGCACAAGTTAAGGCTAAGTCGGTCTTTGTCCCAAAAGGCAGTTAGCGACCTGCAAGGCTGTTCATGAGCACGTGCTGCGACGTTGCCAGCAGTGAACCTTACCCCGAGTCGTCTGTGGCACAGGCGTGCTTCCTGTGACCTGCATGAAGAGCTTACTTTCAGAATTTGCTGGTGAACTCGCTGTTGGCCTCATTTAATGGGGAAGCACCTTCTGGCAGATTAGTTTAGGAAACAAAATGGCTCATTCTTTTCATGGAGACTAAGACTTCTGTAATTAGTGCGAAGAGGGGGGGACGCCGATTATGCATAAGCAGGAAGTGAAGGCTATTAGCACAAGCCTGGAGGATGATGCAGGTTTTACAAAATGCTGAGGCGTTTTAAAAAGCCCAGCGGATGCATGCTGTGTACAGTACCTGTAGTGATGCTGACTGCCTTCAAGTTTGCTTTTGCTGCATGCAATTTTAGCATAAATTATTAAATACCCAGTAACACAAGAACCATTCAGTCAGCCAACAAACTGTCATACAGCTAATGGAGACTTTCTGCAAATATGGTCATGTATGGCAAGTGCTATCAAGGTTTAGCATCAGTCAAGATTTTAATCTCTGAAATCTGAAATGTTGAATGCCTTTATCTTATGCTGATACTTTAAAAAGAGAAGATGTTTCACTGTTTACTTTTTGTGCACAATGCAATAAGATAATGTTTGGGGAAAAAGATGAACTAAATGCACATGGTAAGCTTCACTTTCTCTGAACAGGAAAAGGTTAAAGCGGTGTTTGACAACCTTATCCAGCTGGAGCATCTTAATATAGTGAAGTTTCATAAATACTGGGCAGACACAAAGGAGAACAGGGCTCGGGTAAGTAGTCAATGAGAGTAATTTTATTTTAAGCAGTTGGTCTTTTTTTTTTTAAGAAAACAATATTTTATGTCTATACATTTCCCTGCTTAGGTGATTTTCATCACAGAATACATGTCTTCCGGAAGCTTGAAGCAGTTTCTCAAGAAGACTAAGAAAAACCACAAAACCATGAATGAAAAGGTATTCTGACTGTGGCTTAAGTGTCTTCCTGTAGTCTTGAATGACGGGGTGGTGTGTAATTCAGGGTTGGGGCTGTATGACCATATCTGAAAGGTCATGGCTTCATGTTCCTTGGCCGTCAACAATGTGTCACCATTGGGCTCTTGAGCAAGACCCTTCGTCCCAATTACTTCGGCAATTGGCTGACCCTGCTTGCTGATTGTCAGCTCTGTTGCTTTGGACAGAAGACCCTGACATATAAATACACGTATTATCAATTAGGACATAGATCTCCACCCTTCTGCTTTACAGCATTTCTTTTGAGGCTTCACATTTTGTCTAGTAATGGCATCTTGCACAGAGCTTTCACTGCGTTTCTGCACTGTGCTCTTTTCAGGCCTGGAAGCGATGGTGCACTCAGATCCTGTCTGCTCTCAGGTCAGTCCTGCTCACTGCAGACACACTGGCGTCAGTGTCGCCCGTCTGAGGACCTTTTAATGTCAACAGAGTGAAGCGAGGGGAACATGACTTGCATGGTGGTTACTCCTCCCCCTCCTGCCCTGGCATTCTGTTTATTAAAGAGTATAAAGATCCAGGTGACCGCAGCTGGGGGTTAATTTTAGATTTACTCTGTACAATGTGTGCTATTGTCACATTCAGATATAGACCTTGTTTTGCCCTGCTTGATGTGGAATGGTTTGGTGTAAATAAATAGTTTCTGTTCATCATTAAAGCTGCCCTGGCGTGCCAAGAATATTAATGTTTATCAAGATGATGATGATGACCCAGACCTTTATCTTTTGGTCTTAGTTACCTCCACTCATGTGACCCACCGATCATACACGGTAACCTTACCTGTGACACCATCTTCATCCAACACAACGGGCTGATCAAGATCGGATCAGGTGAGTTTTCCTGCAAGCCGGACGTGGGATGAGAGTAGCAGATCGGAGTCCTCGCTGCACGCCAACAGCGGCTCCTCTCTGCCACTGGCTTTTCATCTTCTGCACCCCTTTGCAGTGGCACCAGACACAATCAACAATCATGTGAAAACCTGCCGCGAAGAGCAGAAGAACTTGCACTTTTTTGCACCTGAATATGGAGGTACACTTAATTTTGAAAAAAATTCAAGATAAACTGAATGTCAAAATACATTGAAATTTGTCCTTCAGCTCAGATTATTTCCCCCTCTCTAGCTGTAGCTGATGTGACTACAGCAGTTGATATTTATTCCTTTGGAATGTGCGCGTTAGAGGTGAGAAGTGATACCATTTAACACTAATCTACGTTGGGTAATATCTGGTCAGTTGTAGTTTAATAGAAATAATGTAATCTGTGATCACAATGGAAAATTTCTCTAAGCTAACATTAAGTATCAATAGATCTGTTGTTCTTTATAAAGGGATTGGTGTTAAAAATGGAAAAACCCTGGTGGAGCTATCAAGCAGATGTGTGCTAGCAGGACAGATGGAGTTCTGAGTCTGACATTGGGTCTTGTTGTGCAGATGGCTGTGCTTGAGATCCAGAGCAATGGAGACTCATCTTATGTATCACAAGAAGCTATTAATAGTGCTATTCAGTCCCTGGAGGACCCTTTGCAACGGGTGAGCTTTGCTTTCTCTGCTAAAATCAAGGTGGTAAAGGGACAGCTAATCAGTGCTGGGCATTTCAGGTCCGGATGCTATAAATCCAGACCAAGATCTTGTTTCTACCAGCCAGATGAACACTCTGTGGCTCTTTGTGCTCAACTGGTTCGTAATGTACCTTGTCCGGTAATTTTGTGTGATTTTATTTCTGGCAGGGTGTTCAAAGAAGTGTTTGTTTACTTCTATTTTAAATGCCAGGTTCATTACTTTTTGAGGTACTTGTGGGTTTGACTTGTCAAGGTATGACTGTTTCGGTAGTGCTCTTGGGGGTGTGCGTGTGATGCCTTTGTGTTCGTGTTGCAGGAGTTTATTCAGAAGTGTTTAGAAGCAGACCCCCTGAAAAGGCCCACAGCCAAGGATCTGCTGTTCCACCAGGCCCTCTTTGAGGTGCCCCAGCTGAAGCTGCTGGCCGCCCATTGCATCGTCAGTCACCAACGTGAGTGAGCTGGTAGCCCAGATACCAATACAGTCATGCTGACTCAACCTATATTCCCACAATATCTGGCCACGTCTCCCATTAAATGTCTTCTGCCCTTTGCCGTCTCTGTTGTAGATATGATCCCTGAAAATGCTTTGGAGGAGATTACCAAGAACATGGACCCGAACCAGGTCATAGTTGAGTGCAAGGAGGGGGTGCAGCTGAAGTAAGCATCGCACTCATTTCTACAAATCGGGTTTCTAAATGTTTTTAGAGTACTTTGGATTGCTGTAATTTTTGTAATGGACTCTGTTGTTTTTAGAGAATCTTTAATTAGAGGCGTGTGTTTTGTCCCATGCTGGATATCCAAAGATTATCTACAGAGCTTAAACTTGCATAGCCTGGTTCTTATCAGTGCCCCATTGCTTTTGAATGTGCTTGTTTATGCATTGATCTGCTGTCCTCAGGCTTTCACAGTTTCCTGCTCTAGAGCTGGATAAGTTCTTAGAAGATGTGAGGTGAGTACTCAGTGTATTCGGCGTCCAGTAAGCTTTGTGGTATAGCCACTAGATGGCAGCAGACAATCGACTCCTGAATCGCCACATTCTCATCTATTTCCTACAGAAATGGGATCTACCCCCTGACGGCATTTGGGATGCCCTGCTCTCAGCAGCCTCAGCAGGAAGCCGTAAAGTCTCCCATCATACCCCCCTCGGTGAAGACCCCCACCCCAGAGCCTGCAGAGCTAGAGACCAGGAAGGTGAGAGCTAAGGGGATCAAGTCTAAACTGAACATGCGAATGGGGATAATTAACTGTCTGCCCTGTAGTCAGCATTTGGTCTTTGTCAGTGTTTCTAGAGCTCTCTGATAAATGGCAATTGACTTTAACATAGGGTTAGCAACATTTTGCGAGGTATCTAAACTTAAATTGGAATGTGTAACTGTACAAACTCTTTCATAGGTACTTCAAATGCAGTGCAATATTGAAACAGTAGAGGAAGGAGCCAAGCATCATGTAAGTTTCTACATGTAGTTCTATACCAGTTCATCCAGATCATGATCTGCTGTCAGATGGCTTCTGTTACACTAGATCTGAAGCTTATTTTTTATTGTTCATTACGGACTCCTTCCTGCATGGAAAGTCTCCTTCATTTGGGAAATTCTGGTCTTGACTTTGCCCTGCTTGCCTTTTGCAGCTTACATTATTACTGAAACTGGAGGACAAGTTGAATAGACACCTCAGCTGTGATTTATTACCAAGTAGGTACATTTTTATATTTTCAAATTGTGAAAACCACTAAAGAAAAGGCCAAAGGTTTGTACACCAAAATCTTTTTATTTGAGGAACATAGGGGAATAGTTCCTTAAACATTACAAACCTGTCGCTTTGAAAGCACAAAAAACACTGAAGAGAATAGTTGAAAATATAAATGGACAAGTCTGAAATCCACATGCCGTGTTTCAGAGGGACTTTGTTAGCTATGTGCCAAAACATAAAATAGTTTGTGAATTTTTTGGCATGAAGAAAATGCGCACATGCATGCTCTGCCTGAAGGGTTGGCACCAGCCCATCCTGACCACGTCTTCTTAAATAGTTACGTAGGTTTATAACTTAACACCATAATCCTCGTGCACATGGTATGTTCAGGAAAAGCTGTTGCATACCTCTATGTAATTCAAGCCACAAATAACCGTAATGGTGCAAACTTCTATACCTCTAGAACAATTTCTAAACAAAAAATAAACAAGAACAAAAATAATTAACATTATAAAAATATAAAACTTTACATCCATTTAAAATAATTTTCCTATCAAAATAACATACAAATAAAATTATATAATGTTCCATAATGGCCTGCAGGCAAAATATGCCTCCTATGAAAAAATACATATTAGCCCTTTAGACTGATCCGTAAATTTTACAGTTCAATATGGAATTGGACAAATTATTGAAATGATCAGTTGGGGGGGAAACATTATTTTTGCACACCTCTAATGCATGCGTATTGCCCTGCACATCTGTTTGTACTCTCTAAGCTTTGAGTTTGCTCGGGTAACAGTGTGATATCTCCCGTTTTAGATGAGAACGTTCAGGAGCTGGCGGTGGAACTAGTTCAGCTGGGATTCATCAGTGAGGTAAGGACTCCTGGGTGACATTTGTGGTCCAAACAAGTCGGCACCACTGAGTTTAAAGTCAGGATGCCAGTGTTTGTTGCTGTCAATGTTGCTTTTCCTTTTGATGTATGTTCGTCACCTTGTTTGACAGGCATGATCATAAATAGCTTGGGTAGATTGTCATGTGATAGTTAACTTGGCTTTGATAATCCCAAATTGAGTATTTGAGTAGCACTTAAAATTTATATTTGTTTTTCAAATTTCTAAACACAATCCTTAAGGCTGCTTCAGAACTGTATTTTTTTCAATGCCCTACATCAGTGATTCTCAAGTCAGTCCTCGTGGATCTCCAGACGGTCCACGGTTCTGCTCCCTCCCAATTCCCTGGGAGCTGGTCTGTTTGGGGTCCCGCGGACTGGTTTGAGAAACACTGTCCTACATTTCCTTGTGTCCTTTAAGATAAAACACATCCTGGAAACTTTGGAAATAACTATCCATCCAGATGCTGTTACCTTGATTGTGATTGGACAGTATTACAGTTTCATGTTTAGCAGGGGAAGCTAATGCACAAACTGACCCAGTAACTGGTTGCCTGACGCTGTACTTCGAGATGATTGCCCTGCCTACAGGCATACTCCTGATATCATAGTAACTCTCATTTGTTCCACCAACTCTAGGGTGATCAGATGAAACTAGCCTCTGTTATGGAGGAAGCTTTCAACAAGTTCTACAACCGCAACGGTTGCCTGAACCCGGTCACTGTGTCGTCGTAGTGGAGCCACGCCGGATTGACCTGCCTGGCAACCGGACCCTCTGTATTCTGCCCCCGCGGCAGCAGTATCGGACCCCGTGTAGAGGATGATGGGACACTGTAGCATTGACCGCACTGGTGGATGGTGGGGGAGTGGCCGGTCCCAGCAGCTGCTGCAGTGTCAAGCATTCAGGATCACTTTCTACCCCCCCCCCACCCCCAGTGTAGATCACAGCTTTTGTTATAAGAAAGCCCAGCACTATTCTAAGTCAGTATTATCAGCCGTTTGCAAACGTTTTTGCCCTCCTGTGTGATGGTTCGCTGGCTGTAATTTGTGGAGTCGCCTGTGAGTCTCCAGGAGAGGAGAGGACCTCGCAGCCCTCAGACTGCAGTGTGTGAGCAGACCAGCTCCCAAGCTTACGTTCTTTCAGTTTACAGTGAGGTTTTCATCTTTGAGCATTGTGGAGTTTTTTTTTTTTTTCTTTTCTTTGAATGGGTGAATAAATGAACAAAGGTTTACCAGGGTTCAGCTGTGTGCCTTATGATGCTGAGCCAAGATTGTGAAAGCAAGATGAGCACAGGCAGACTACAGAGGATCTTGGTGTTTTCCGGACTGTCTATTGCACATGGAATCCCCTGACGATGGAAGGGATAGCTCGGCAGGTGGGATAATTCTTGTGAATGTATGCTTCCAGTTGCTGAGTAACTAGCTTTGTATGTGGCAGTTTCTGGGGGGTGGGCCAAGGCCACTTGACTCCCCTCTCGCCTTGACATTTTGGAACAGTATACAGCAGAATGTGTGTCGGTTCTGTGATCTGTGTTATCAATTTGGCCATTGGTCTGCTTTTTGTCTATGTTCTTTATGGGACTGCATTTTAAACGGATTTATAGAACATTTGCAGTTTGGTATTGCATAAACACTTTGGTGCATTAAAAATAAACCTTACGATTTCGCCAAACCCTTATGTAGTTCTAATTTCTATAGATGGGGGATTTTTTTTTTTTTTTTACAGCTGTGTTCCCCTCTTTGTCGGTAAATCGCCACAGACCACAAGAACCAAAAGTGCTGAGACAGCTGGTAAGATGGGATGTGGGTAAATGTAGGCCTGTAATACAAGCAGCATTTGTCAGTTCTGCTCCTGAAACTTCATCCAGATACCTACATGTCCTCTGTGCTCTTAAAGGGGAAGTTTCCCTTTTAATGGTTCTGTGCAGATTCATTAAAAACTGCCCTGAATGCCTTGGTTTGAAGGGAAGCCCTGTGCCGAGATGGAGCTTTAAGGTACCTCAACACTTCACCTTCCCATGTTGTTTACATTATGAACTGAACAGTGTATCAAAACCATTAGCACACATACTTTAACATTTTGACTTAGATTGGATTATGTATGAGAATCCGTTTTAGTTTCTCACACCAAACAAACAGTTGATACCGCTTTGTATTCACTCTGGTTTCCTTTAGGTGAATTCTGCAGGAATAAGCCTGTGGTTTAGTAAAAAAACACACAGGTGACCTGATTAGCTGGTAAGGTGTCTGTTTTGGGAAGTCTGCCACACAGCGAGTGTGCGGTCGCTTAGGAGCCGTATTCTGTGTTCTTAAACCAGACATCCTGTGGCTTCTGCCTGCCACCTACAGCCTGGAGGAAGCACTACATCTGAAACTGCTCTCGAACCCTCTCCGTACAGGTGTAACCACAGGCTAGTGGATTATATTATCAGTTTTCTAAAGCACAACAGTGTACACAACTTGCCTTTTTTTCTTTTCTTTTTCTTAAATGCTTTTATGTTTTTGAAGTACCCACAAAGCACTGACTAAACACAGCAATAAGTCATTCGGCAGTTCCAGTAAGTCCACCAAAACTCGGGAGATGCTGGCTCACCTGTCTCAGCAGGCCGTTTTCAGATCGTGCCATAATGCTACTAGAATTAGGAGTGGTCTCTTTTGAGGGCTCTGCTTTTTAATTTGCTGTTTAACAGCTGGCAGCAAGTCTATTTCAAAGTGCTTGATGAAATAAGATCAAGGCAGGTTTTTTTTATTTTTTTTATTATATAATAATTTAATGTCACTTTAAAAAACACTTGGGAATTGGCAGACGTGTATGATGGCCCTGTCAAAATTGCTATTGCTGTAAAGTGCCCTTCCACCAGACAGCTGCTAAAACCCTGAGCAATTCGCTAAACTATATTTACCTGCATTCCTGAAGCCTGACATTCTTTTTCTTTCCAGATCCATTTGATAGCAGTGCATCATCCTTTACCCCATACTGTTAATTTGCTACGTCTGGGACGCTGGATATGTTTATGGGTTAAATGAGGCTTCAGGGTGTACTGCAGTATCCAGACCACATTCAGTCCTTGGCTGAACCCTGATTTGAGGCAGGAATCTTCTAGGGCTGGCCCTCGAACAACCGTACTGCTGTAAAGTAAACCAGATATTAATCTCCCTAATGCTCTTTATGTGACACATTCAGGCAGCGTGAATGGGTGCTTACATCAAGATGTCTGCTCTAGAGCCACATGGTGGCGATTACGGAAATTGGACACAAATACATTATCGCGTATGGTCTTTGAAATTGATTAACTGGATCCACAGAACTGAAGATGCATTTCACGGTCAGATGCATGTGGACACCCCAATTAATTAGAGGAATTGGCTAATTAAGCCATGCATATTTCTGAGACAGATCTGTAAGGGCACAGTCATTGGAAGTGGTAGGCCACACAAGCTCAGAAAGGGGACTGATCGCCCTACATCAATGGCTAACATGAAAGGCAGCACATCCCGCCATCGTTATCCTATCTAATGGAAAGCCTTACTAAAAGAATAGTGGCTATTATAGCAACAAAGGCCAAACCACATTAATATCCTTGGCTTTGAAATGAGATACTAGACAAGCTGGTATCCATAAACTTTTGGCTATATAATCACATGGACTTTTACCTCACATCTGGGGGATTAGGCTTAAATCAGACTAGCCAATCAGAAATCATTATGATCCCTGGCCTTACTTGGGGAGCTTCTCTGAGAACGCAGAGATGCCTTCAGCCCTCTTTCGCTCATCCTGGGTACTGGGTCCCTCACTGGAGTTGGGCGTATCCCAGCATTCCACTGGGGCTCCTGACTCAGCCTGTCTGCCATTCCCTTGGTGACCGGGTACTCCGAGGATGCACTAGTGGCCCATTTCGGCCTGCTTTGTCTCTGCTGCCGGGAGTTCAGGTCCAAGGACAGGAACAGCTTCAGAGGAGGAAACCAGTGGAGTATTTCATGTTCATTTTTTCCAGATGTACAGTTTAATAGCAGGCAAGAAAGATTTAATTCCATAATTTGATTCTAACAATCTAGTTTAATTCTGCGTGTCTGTGTCGGCCATGCATAATGCCTTTGGTTCTGCATGGGCCTCTGATTTGTGCACTGTGTCCCTTCGAATTCAGAGGAGAGTCAGTCGGCTTGTGAGGAACCAAGCTTACTAGTGACTTAGCCTTGCGGAGCTTGTAGCTCGAGTCACAGAGTGGCTTCATCCTGCCGTTTTCGTGTCGTGTCGTGGCAGTGTCGATCTTCTTAGCTTTTGCTCGTCTGCAAGAGAAGCAATCAGAAGCATTTCTGGTTGCTGCATTTCTAGGATATGCCTCACATCCCTGTCAAACATGACCAGTGAAGAAGCTCTTCTGGTTTCTGATTTTCTAGGACGCCCCACGTCTCTGTCATACGTCACCAACTCACGTGAGGTTGGCCTGCTCGATGGGGTCCAGGTTCTCCAGGTAGTTAAAGCGCAGCGTGTCCGTCGGGTGTCTGTCAGAGTCCCTCCACGGGGGCAGCCCCTTCCTCTCAGCTGGAGCACCCTTCCCCCCACGCCGGGCAGATCCGGCTGATCGAACCTGTCCCGTGTAAGCCGCCAGTGACTCCTCCCTCTGACAGCCAATCACCTTCACCTCCTGGTAACAAGGGGTCTGACGAAAGACAGGGCCTCATTATTATGAAGTCCACCTCCCATGAACACTAACACTTAATCCTTCATTACATTTTGACTATAGATCTTTAAAGAATGTAAATGTACTGCTTGTCCACCCATCATCTGATAACCCAAGAAGTGCAGGGGATAGCAGGATGGAAGGCCAGTCCACAGTCCATCACAACACACAAGGCAATGTACAGAGACCAATTCACCTAACTGCATGTCTTTGGACCGCCAGAGTAAAGAGGAGTGCCCTATACAAACACATGGAGAATAAGCAAATTCCACACAAACAGGACGGATGGGTGTATATCTCCCAACCGTGGAGGTGTGAGGCTACAGTGCTATCTACCGTAATACATGTAAATGATGTACATGTATAAACGTCACCTATCTAATATAACTTGCTTTGTTGGATTTTACAGCATAAGCTGCCAAACATCTAGAAATAAGTCAGCTCATTTACAGTCAGCTCATTCGGCCCAGGGGGAAGGGGGGGTCACCTTCGGCTTAGTGATGTGCAGCTCCTGTACAGTTTCGATGTAGTGCCTCTTCCATACACCTTGCTCAAAAGGTGTGGGGGCAAAACTGATGCACCAGCCCAAGCGAAGGCATTTGGGCATCCACAGCTGGTCCAGCTCCGTCAGGCTCTTCCAGTGCCAGCTCACCTGCTCAATTACAATGGTTCTTATCAGGTAAGTCATCTTCCACATTTACTGCACTGGAATTACAGGATGGATACTGTAAACACAGTTACCTGTGCTTATGTGTGTATTCCTTTTATGTTTGTACCAGTTTATATACAAATGTGTAGACAAACTGCATGTGGCCCCTGCAGTTTCAATTCCAATCTTGGCTTTCAGATCATTTGATCTCCAATTTATATATTAAATTTTAGCATAAGTTCAGTCAATCATTTTGATATTTTCAGCATCAGAATACTTTTTATTATTAATAGTTTTACTAATACTTGCATTATATAATTTTCCTAGTGAGACTGTCTTTGCCTAGTTACAGATGTCTATAAATGATAATTTCTGTAAATACAGAGCATATCATAAAAGACAGGTATCTATGGGATTACCAAGTTAGTGGTTATATCTGAATGTGGACATTCGGGAGTCGTGTGTGTGCTTTTTGGCAGCAGGCTGAGAATGTAGACCAGCATGATGTAGTGATGATCAGGTGATCAGGAGCAGAGAAAGGGGAGGGGGGAGATGCTGACAAGCTGCAAATGGATCATACAGAGCAAGAGACAAATAGGTATCAGCTTTTCTGAAATGAGTAGTGATACGAAAGCTATCATATGAAGAAGACTACTGGGTCAAGTATAAAGGAGAATGGGGTGTCTGATATGAGGAGGGAACACAGAGACATTCATAAGGTGAATGAAACACACTGGGGATCAAGGCTATGAAAAATAAGAGGAACAAATGTATAAATGACATGCAGATCATCAAAGAGAAGTTTGTTACACTGTTGCCTATAGTTGGATTTCACCAATATTTCCTGTGCGTATTTCCACATGAACAGTTGCATCTACGATTTTTCATTATGTAACGCCTTAAATTTTGCCTGTATGTTTAACTACTGTCATTGACTAGGGGGTAACATCACAGTTGTCTATCTTAATGCTGTTACAGACTCACATGTCACAGAGAGATATGCTTATGTAAAATAAGTATCAACACTGCACAAAATGTGCTTCCTGCATTCACTGTGTCTCAATAGACTCTATTGTTTGATACGTTTATGCTCTGTACAAACAAGCTCGCTGCTTTGAGCAGAAACGTCTGCCAGTCGAACATATAACCATAGATCGTAGTGGCAGTTCTTTAGAGTAGTGTTTTCCAACCCGGTTCTTGGGGACCCCGAGATGTTTTTGCCACATTTTTGCTCCCTCCCAGCTCTATACTAAATTACACACTTAGTGGTCTGTTGCCGTCTCTACCATTTCAACGTGGATCACCTTTAACCTTCATGAGATATTGATGAACACTCTAGGGCAACACAATGCCCAGCTTCCTTTTATGTGATTTTTGGCCAAAACTGAACAGGCACTGATGTAACTACCAACTGAATAAGGATTTCTTCCTCAAATTTCTGGGACAAGGGTGGCCAACCAACCTGTGCACACCTGCAGAGGCTCCGCGGGTCCAGAAAGGAAAAGATGTAGAGGGACAGCACTCTGGGCAGCATGGCGGTAAAGTCCTGGGCGTCTCCTGGGACCCGGCTGCAAAGATCCCTACGCAGGAACTTAAGCTGAACCGCGGAGCATCTGGAGAAGAAATCCTGCAGCACCAGCTTCCGCTGGGAGTCTGTCCACTTGTCAAACTGAGGGACACAAACAAGGGGACTGAGAGAACCTGCTTCGACAGATCCTTTAACTTAGCGATATTACAGTTTGTTACTGTTCATTATGCAGTTGAACGCGGTCCATGCAAGTACGTCTTGCAGTACAATGGCAATTTTACTGTTTACAGTACATAATTGCGTGAAGGGAGTATGGCCTTACCCATTTTCCAAGCAAGGCTCTCCTCTCTTCAAATATCTAGGAGAAGAGGGAAAAAACTGAGATACATAGCCTTGGAATCTCGACACTGTACATAACATCATAATGAATCAAAAATAAGTTCTTATTATTTGGAATTCTTAAATATGCTAAACAAAACCAAAAATCACCAGAGCTTTTATTAGCAAACCTGTTTAACTAAATACAAGTTAGCCTGTTTAAAAAACTTTTCTTAAAAAGTACATGATCATTAGACAGCTGGTGGTTCAGCGGAGTCCAAGTGCTCATCGTGGCTTGCATCTTTCCATTTCTGAGGACCTTGCTGGGCCCAAACGACATCCTCTATCTGCAGTACGGAAACAGTAAGATCGGAGGAAAACAAAAGCAACAAGACTGTAAGTAATCCTCTGCTATCGCATGACATTGATCACTCTCATCATAAAACAGCATCGTCGATCTCTCACGTAATCAACATGCGCACGTTATAGAGGTTATGTGGGATGAGCGTAAAATTTAGCGGCAGTAATTATGTCATTATTTCGCATACCCTTTATTCCTGCACTTCGGCGTTAAAAACAAAACGAAAAAAAGAAGCAAATGCGAGAAGCATGAAAATACAATCCGGTGCTCGGGATATTTAATCGATGCATCGGTTTACTGCCAGTTCAGTGTTTATTTTGTGCAGACCCAGCCATCTTTTGCGTTTACCGGTTTCCATGGCAGTACTGAATGAGTTTCGCCTCCCTGCGGCTGCTCCGCCCCCAGGCTCGTTCTCGCGCTTTGACAGCAGCAGAAAAGAGAGCCGCATGGCCGGTATCCCACTCTGCCTTTTCACTGTTTATCAACTGATGGTTTTCATCTTCAGATCATTAATGATTGGTAAGTCAATGCAGGATCACTCAGACTTGCTCTTTACAGTGCTGGATCCAGTTCACCTACCAGCATAAAAAATCTTTATTAAATACCGTGCACCTGATTTAAAGTGGTTGTTTTATACCATGTTTTATTATTTTCTCAAAATTGATCTTCTTCACTTTGATGGCTTCCAAGCTGACAAAGTTCTCCAGCAGGTCAGATCTAAGTATCACATCCACTGAGAGAGGAACGGGCTGGATATAACCATTCCATTATTGCTGAAGAGCAAGAGGTCTGGGGCAAGACAATGGAGAATATAAATGTATTATTTTTATCCGTGTACAACGTTATTTTAAAGATGGTGGTCAATTACAATATTTGGTAATAAACAAATAAAACGTACATATAGTGGCAAATTATAGTGTTCAGTAATAAATGTGTATAATGATTTGTTTAGAATTGATGAAACGACCAAACTACCCACAGCTTTTGAAGTATTATCTTAATTAACAACAGCTGGCTACGTCATTAAACCTTAATCTAATCACTTGTAAATAGCTATGGATGAACAGATATGGAATCAGCCAAGAGACATGAGGGAATATGGGAATCCTGCCACCTTGCCGTCCCCTTCCCAAATAACACTGAAGGAATCATTCTGTGGAATCATACATTATTCACTCTTTCTGTACATCCCTTTGAAACAAAGTATCCAGCAAATGAGAGTTCGATAAGGTGATAACATTCTCTAGCCACCGTTACTAATGAACACCTTTAATTACTGATTCCTACACGGAAAGCTGATATTTAAAGGGTATTTTAGGCCATCTGCCTTCCTACTCTTCTGGGGGTGGGTGGGGGTGGGGTCAGTTAAATGCTAGTTAATTACATAGACGGATGTGATCTATCAACAAAATGTAAAAGCTCAAGTTCTTTTAATTGATGCCAAAATGCCCTACTTTACCAAGAAGATGAACTTTGCGTTTTGTATGAAAATTGGTCTTGTAATATTTAAAATGGTTTCCATGTGAAAGTGTAGTACACTATCTACAAGCACTAGAGAAGTGATTCTTAATCCTGTTCTTGCACCCACCCTTCTGCTGGAATGTTTTCATTCCAACCCCACCTTAATCAGTCTTATATGCTCTTTAATAGGCCAATAATGAATGTGGCAGGTTGAAGGCAGTGTGGGTTGGAATGAAAACATTTTGGTCATGGGGAACCGGAACAGGACTGAGAACCACTGCACTGGACTTTTACAAAAAGAAAAAAAAACTTCCTGAATGTCTAGAGTCTAGACTTTCCTCCACCTGCAGGGACGGCGAAACTACGCGCCGATGAGAGTGAGTGTGTGTGTGTGTGTGTGTGTGTGTGCGTGCATTCATGTGTGAGTCAGTCCTCTGCAAGCTGTTAAGAGGACAGTGAGGTTTTCATAAGACTATTGTATGCCAACAAACCCTGAGATCAAGTTGATCCCACGGAGGAATGTCCAATCGTCCTGTTTCTCTTTGAAGTGAGCATTGGAAGTCTAATTAACTGTTAGAAAATGTATATGTCAACATGATTGCAATTTAAATCTAAATATAAATGTATATTTGTGTTAATAACCACTCATCAGCACTTATCCTAAGATGACAGGGTCATATCCCAGGATGAATAAGGGACGTTACAGAACACACTCTTTATTGTAAAAGATTATGTTACCATGTTTTTAGACTTCAGAAGGATGTTTTGAACTTTTAGAAGTCCTGACAAAACAAATGGCATAAGTACACAAGAGCTACATGAACATATTAAAGCCAGATTAAATCTGGTAGTCTAATCCAATGAGGCTACCCACAGTGTCCTGTCCATGACAATTCACCATTAACTAAATATGATCTGAAACCTATTCCATTGCTTACTGGGATAAATGGCTGATGAAATCACAAATACAGACATTTGCAGCAAATCCTTCTACGGTTTTGACACAGAAATGACAAAACCATAAAATGTGTTATCACCATGAAATACATGATGGCTGATTTCCTTGACATAATAATCACTGTACAGTTCCATACAATTATCACTGAATGATCCACTAGCCCTCTGATACAATTAGCAAAGCCACCATTGTCATAAATCATGTACAGTAAACATAATCACAGAACCTTCTTGTGAGTTTTACAGAACAATCCATGGACTAATGAGTATTTTCAAACTGCATGATGCCTTCACACACCTATCAAATAACCTTCAGATAACCGTAACAGATAACAGGGAACTGTACAACTAACATACATTCCTATAAAAATCACATGATAAAGCATAAAACAACCAGTAATACAGTTTCAAAACCAGCAGTCTGGTTGGATGTCTTGTTTTTTGCTGGTCAATTGAAAGTTATCTGAATATGTTACACTTGTAACTTATTTAAATGTTTAAGTAAAATAGGTAATTTCCTACTTCTGATAGGGCAAGGGCAGAAACCATGATAACATTGTAGAGTGTAGGTGGTGACTCTTTAAAGTAAGGAGAGATGTCAGGTGCTAAGGACGCCCAACACATGATTATAACCTGAAGGTATCATCATCTAACCGGGAGGCATTTTGTGGGAGCTAATTTTTTGCATATTCTCATTTGGCAGTTTGACGGGATGGAAGGTGAGTTTGCATAGTGTGTCAGTGAGTCACTATGAATATCACAGACAGACAAAATATATGAACACAACTATGAATGTGATTACATGCCTTGTCAACACTTACTCACCTGGTTAGGAAGCGTTTAAATGATCCATAACCTTCAAGTGTCTTCCTGCCCAGTCCCTGTCTGGGCTAATCATTTAATGCTGATTCCTCCCATAGAAATTCCCAGCAAACTGCAACCAACGTGTAGTTTCTTCATAGGACAAAAGTGATTCTATTTTTTTAAACATAACGTTTCACCAGTCATCACCCACCATTTTAACCATTTGTACAGAAAATGAATAAAACTCAACTATAACCCTGGAATGCACTGGAAATAATTTGTAACAGATAACAGGCAAACATAAAAATATAACTTTATAAATGAGCTAAATAAATCTGGTTTAATTTATGATTTAATTTTAGATGTCCTTCCTGAATCTCTAAGTAACATAAAATAGGTGCACCAAGAAAAATATACTGCAAAAGGGACGTCATTTCCAGACTTGGCAACGTCTTACCTTGCGTTCCTTGCTACCAGTGATCCAGCGCATGTCGTGCTCCATCTGCTGGTCTAAAATAAAACAAGTAAGAATTAAACCAAATATGCCATTAAACATTGTTTTGGCTGTTTTGGGCACTCTGTTTTGGCATTTTGTTTGACTTTTTCCACAAAATGACTCAGTCTATTAATAATCTTTATTTAATTTTTTTTGTTTTTAGGCTTTTAATGAAATGTTACTTTAATTGAAAACAAATTTTAATTAATTCTTGTACGTGCATATATTAAACATGAAAGACTGCTTTCAAAGAGAAATTTAAATAGCAAATTTTGTTTGCATGTTTGACCGTAGTTAATTAAAAACAGGGTGAACATTTTCATTTTATTTTCTAATTGACATCATTACAGCGTTGCATTCACAGCTTTAAGAAAAAGAAATAAAATCAAACGACATTATAGACAAACCACATTTTAAATAACCTGCCATTATTCCTATTTGGCTCAACAAAGTTTCTATACTAGATTATATGCTTACATCCACCACGTAAGAACCAGGCCTGAACCCATGCATAAATTCCACATGTATGCAAAATCTGCAGCCTTACAAGTCACTAACTTCGAGCAGTGAAACAAATTAAATGATCTCAAGGTCACAGATAAATTGCATCTTTGCAACTAATATTAACATTCTCATTTAAGCACACCTTCAGCCAACAAAGCATTATCTAATTATCTTATTACAATTTTTTTTTTAGTAAAAACCATAATAAAATGCACAAAACTTGGGGTTCTTATCTGAGGATTTTTTTTGCCTGGAAATTAATTGCCTTGTTTTTAAACCCTATAAACCTCACACATGTCTGCAATCTCATAAATATGCAATTATGTTTTTATACAGCCACTGGCAAAGTCCAAATCAAATCCTCATAGGAAGAAAAAGGTGACGTCTTGCTTTAGGACTCTGTTTGTTTATTAATACAGGGACATCTGATTAAAATGTTTTTTTTTTTTTCAAAGAAATTAAATTTCTTTTTAGGATATGGGTGCAGTGCTGGAAATGGATTTTTTGTAACAAAAATTACGAACAGGTGCCAGGTCATCATTTTCATAAATTTTTTTCTTTTTGCCCCTGTGTGTTAGATGGCATCTCACCGGTGCAGTACTGCAGTTTGTTGAACAGTTTGTGTCAGCTGCCAAACTTACTAACACAGTAGTGTCCTTTCTTACCTCTCTTGTATTAAATTTGCAGTCTGGTTGCTATCATTGAACCTGCTCCTTGTTCTTCCTGAATTATAAGTACACTCTACTGAAGTCATTCCTGTTTTGGGACAGCTCTGCATTTAAATACTGAATATGCTGTTTAGATTTATTTTTGTTTACGCAGAGAAGCTCACAATCGGACAGCATGAGAATGTTCCTTCACACCTTATAGCATAGGGAGCAGTGTTGTGCAATCTGAATTGATGCATCAACAATGATATCCCTTCTAGAGGTCACTAAGTTTCCATGGCTGGAACGTTGTGTGCAGTCAGCATGGTATGAGATATTAATGATACATTAATGTTGCAGATGATGGAGACATAGGGTTTACACAGTTTTGTGTCTTCGTGTTTCTGGTGCCAGTGTCAGTGAATGTCTATGTGATTCCTGATCCTGGAGAGGTGTGCAGAAAAGTGATTGTTTTGCTTTGGCAGTAATCAACACCCATCTTCTCAGTCCTGCTTCTCCTTCCGCTGTGTTTGAGATATGTCTGGTATTCCCTCGTGAGTGATCCAGGGCTTCTTTCACAAATGACTGCAATCCCAAAATCCAAGAGATGACAAGGCCTGACCTGTCCAATGTACACAAGACGCCCATTGTTCCCAAAACCCCTGACACGCCTGGGGTGATGCAGGGAACTCAAAGTGCAGATATCATAAAAGATACAAGGACCTTTGCCTTAGATTCAGAAAACTTCAATCAGAAACTACTACTGAAAGTGCTCCTGAGGGTTAGGGGGCAAGATATGAGGGGAAAGGATACTGTTTTCCTCATGAATCTTCTTGTGCTTTTAGACACGTAGAGTAATACTCAAGTCATGCATTCCGACAGGTGTTCTAGCTACAAACAAAACCTACTGAAGAACTTTTCTAAACGTTTCAATGCCAAAATGTAACCAACTCTCAGACCCAAAGTAACCTAGGAGGTTAATAATTCAAAATAGTTTACCAGTAACATACGTAATACTTTATACTGAAGATTAATTTGACTTTATTGATATTCAAATTAAAGTTTCACATGCCAATAATATACAACACGAGAGGGGTAGACTTCATACTTATGTACAAAATACTTTAGAAATTATTTAGTTTCTTTAAGTACTGGATCTGACCATTCTTCCCAACATACACGCTGAGTGTTTGGAAAATATACAGCAAGTGTAGTTGTAAAGACACAGAAGCTCTTTCCACAATCACACCATAGAATATAATCCATCCTCGTCTAATGGATGTGGAATTTAAAGCAATGAGTTGCAGGTGATTTTATTCTACAGTATGTATTATGAAGAATTGAGTGGTTCAAGCAGGGGCTAAAAGACTAATGGAACTAGTCTGCAGTGTGATGACGTTTCAACTTCTGGTGTTAAAAACTTTAGAGTATGGTCAGACATAAAGACAGACATTAGATATCCCCAGCAAGAAATTCTGGGCATTTCATTCTAGACTTAATCCTAAAGATTAACCTAACCATAAACTAACTTGTAAAGTGTACTTTAAGTATTTAGGGGGAAATAAATCTATGAAGTGGACATTACTGAAATCATTTCCCAGAAGAAGCCTCAGTTAAGGCTGAACATTTTACCACCTGAGTCCTAACAGAAGACCCTCAAACATCATGTACAATCCCTATCCCCAACCCAAACACCAACCCTAATCCTATCCCCAACCCAAACACCAACCCTAATCCTATCCCCAACCCAAACACCAACCCTAACCCTATCCCCAACCCAAACACCAACCCTAACCCTACTAACTCTAGCCCTAAGCTTAATACCAACCCTAAAACTAACCACATCCCTAATGAGAGCCCAGACACCAACCCTAGCCCTAACCCAAATGCCAACCCAATACCTAACCAATGTCTTAACCATAATGCCAATCCATTTTAAATGCACACAGTACACAAATTATATTCAATAACAACTGTTCTTCGGCAGTCAACCAAATCTTTAAATCTACAGAGGTTGTTACTTCTGTAAGATGTTCTCAGTTAAATTATTTGACCTTTCCTGTCCCTTTTGTTTCTTACCATTTCAGTTTTTTGTTTGGCCAATAAAACAACCTGCAGCTCCTTTTCATTGGGAACTTTGAAATCACAATGTTGTTTTGAAACATTTACCAATTCTAATACTGTGCAATTTTGAAAAATGTCAGGGATTCTTTAACCCACTTCTACAGACAATTAAAAAGAAGAAATTATTGTAAGGGACATTATCTTTACAAAAACAGAAATCACATATAATGGTTCAGTTTTTTTAGACAGATGTCAAGTAAAAGATTGACAAAGGTTGACTAATTTGGAAACTGAGCCCACTGCAAATTAATTTGAGAAAAAAAATTTGATTTGATTTAAAATGTATTTTTTTTTTATGTTAAATTTACATTGAAAGTGTTTCAGAAGACAAAGATGCATTAGAGCACAGACTCTTATCTGGGTGCTTAAAATTACTTATGGAAGAAACAAGGGTTTTAAACGCCAATAAACGTCAATTGCTACCATAATTTAACCCGAAGGTTGTCTGTGATTGAAAAGACAGTAATAATGCCCACTGATGGGTAGCAGAGCCTCAGTTGTCCTTTCAATATATGGAATGATTGTAGTGTACATGAACTTTTCCTAAGAATACCAGCCGACTGACTATCGAGGTAGGCTATTGTAATCATTCATCAGGGCACCATGAACATGGTACAGTCTTGTGGGAATTTCTATCAATGTTACAAAGTTACAAACTGTTTACTTAAAAAAAAAGGTAATCCAGGGAATCACAGGATGTTATGTAGGTCAAACCATAGACAAGGAGGGTAAAAGGGGGGGGGGGGGCTGTGAAGGAGGGAAGTTAGGATGATTCTGTTCAGGGCCCTAAAAAATTTGGAAAGTAATTGGATTGATCTGGATTGGGGCCAGTATTATATTGGCACCCCTAAATATAAAGGCTTATTACTCATAAAAATGTACTGATTCATGTTATTGGCAACACAAAACCACAGAAAGAAGTCAGTATGTCAAGGCCATGTCTTGTAGCGTAAGATTCAGCGGTCATACAAACATGTATGTATGTGAGCATGTGTGAGTCTGTGTGACTGAGTGAACGTGTTCCTTACCGTATCAGCTGCTTTGTCTGATAGCACAATTTATGCGACGTGACTTTTGACTGCTGGATTTATGAGAGAGAGGTTTCTCTTACATCAAAACAAAGCGAGTAAGGTGAGCGATCGCACTTTTGTAGGGTTATCGTGTTTCTAGATATATCTCAGTCTCTGCGTATGTAAACAAACGGGCAAAATAATTTCTTCTACCTGTTATCGGCTGTCTACTCTGCTGTGAGTAACATCTCCAAAGAAATATGCTTGATAGGACAAGAGATAAACGTAAGTGTGACGGACCTACTTACTTTACACATAATAAGAAAGCCAAACACTGTTATATGTAACACAAACACACACACATATTTATATAAGCCTCAATGCCAAAGTAAATGTGACATTCTCTTAAAATCAATTATTCAGTAGTAAAGAAAATTAGTTAATACCTCACTTACAGCAACATAATTGATTGTGTGGAAAATAAAAGTTTGCATTTGATTGATCGCAGACCAGCTAGATTGACTGACATGCTGGATGTTTCATGTGGTTCTTGTAACTACTGTGTCTTCAAATGTTATCAACTTTGAACGCTTACCTGAAATAGCACCATGATAAAGGGGATCTCTGGGAAACGCAGTCCATTAAAAAACAAGACGGAAGCAACCACTGAAACCTGTAAATAGCGGAATGCAAAGATTATTATCATTTGAATTACGCTGTGGTGCCGGAGGAAAGAGCAATTAGTCTCCTGTGGATACACAAAATACTTTGCCTTTTTCTGGTTCTTTTGGGTGAGTCTGGCTTTACAGTAAATTCATCTTATTCAATCTGATCCCTCACATCACACCAGCAACTAATTGTGCCTGTGCAGTCATTCTGCTAGTCATGATCTGCCCGAGTGAGTCGTGGATCTGTGTCCAAAGATGCACTGCAGTAAGACAAGTTAGATGCAACAGCTACAGTATATGCTGCTTGATACACCAGCAAATTGATGAGTTAGATTAATCATTCGGACTAATTTATCCTCTCATAGATAAGGACGTGTGAGGAGCCAACCACCATTTCTCAGATTAAAACAAGTGGAAACCAAACCCGGACCATCACAGCAGCCAACCAAGGGGAACTTTCCGGCTCTGGCAAGCTCTCCTGCCAGAGAAGTATGACCCCTGGCTGGCATTTGGCGTTCATGACTGGGGCAGGAAGCTCTTCATCATTTAAGAGCTTCGACCACGGCTCTGACATGTGCCATTGAGAACCATCAGCAGTAACAATTTAAAGATGAGACTAAGGGCCGGGCTCTTTGCAACTTTGACGTTTATTTATCAGATGTTTTTATGCGGGAATGCACACCTATTGACAGTCCCCAGGTCATGAATGAGATCTGCTCCCTATGTCTGTCTTTAAGTCCAATTTGCAGGTAAGTCAAAAAAATACTTATTATTGTACAGTAATAATAAAAGTAACTACATACAGTACTGTACTGTACCTCGAGCTGACGGACCACTGAAGCCACCCAATGTTTTCACAAGCATCACAAATTAGTATGTGCGTTTCTTATCAAAACCCTTTGTGTTATGGCAGTCTGTTCATAAATGCAAGTTGTCCCTAAGTCAGGCATCCTTAACCCAAGGACTGCCTGTACAGTGACATTCTTAACCCAGGGACTGCCTGTACAGTGACATCCATGATCCCAGGACTGCCTGTACAGTGTTGTATGACCTCAAGGTCTTTCAAATTCCCTGAGATCCAAGTGGTCAAGGATGGCGTCCTGTGGGGTAGCAGTACTGTCTGTGGGCCATCAAGAATACGATACTGTATAGTCATATAACTGACAGGCCATTGATAAATGTTATGCAGTGGAATATGAGTACTATATATGAGTACTATTTTTGGACCACTGATACCATCTGCTGGCATGGTGGAATTGTTCAATTTTGTTGTTGAGTTACGATTCAAAATAATCTATAAAGTCAATATAACATTCCTTTTACACTGAAGGCACCATATTCCAACCTTCCGTAAGTTCAGACCGCATGATCCTTGGGTCCTGTAACCGTAACCAAATACCAAGTCTTCAACTGCATTCTGCCATGCGAATAATTCTACGCAGGTAGCGGGAAGTTTAGCATTGCTTTACCATGCAACTGTACACAAGCAAAAGTAGATATAGGCCAGATGTTTTGCTGTAAAACTCTAGGTGTTCATGATTTTAAAAACAAAGGCTATAGCTAATGTAACTATTATCACTATTAAAGCAATAATGGAGTGATATTGTGTGCAGATAGACCCACAGAAGTTATCCGATACCAGGAAGTGTTCTAATTCAAGACACCAATTTAAAACCGAGGAAATAAACTGAATTTCCAGCTGGTGCCTCTGTGGTATTTAAACATGCAATCATTAGGAATGTCTGGCCATTTGTAAATAAGTGTTACCATACTTTTGTATATTTTAGGTCCTTGTTTTAAAACTTTGACATGTATTTTCTGTTTCACCGCCTGTTTGTGATTAAACTGTTCAGCAAGTTAAGATCTAGGACTCCTGCCTCCTTTTTTGGAGGTAACCCTCGCCTCAAACTGCAGGAACCCAAAAAAAATCACTGGCAAGCTTTAGTCCGTCTCTTACTCTGGTCTGCCCTTTGGATGCATTGCTTCCGTCTGTGATAAATGAGCTTTGATACCCTCACAAGGAAACAGATGCACATACTGCAATCCTAAAAGCACAAATACTGCCTTTGGGATGGCATGGCAGCAGCGCAGGTCAGACGTTGCTCTGGGGCTCTTAAGAGAGAGCCAGCTACTGTTGTTTTATGTTTTTGATTATGACTATAAAGTTATATACAAATACAATTCAACAGTCCCAAAGCTCAGTCACCAAAAATTTCAGCTAATGAATGAATTAAAATAAGGCTAAAAATAACAATAAAATACTGCTTGTTTGTTTGTTTTGTTTCGTTTTTTTTTTTTTGTTTGTTTGTTTCTTTTTGTCTTTTGGATGGAATTTTGCTGGCATTTTTGTTTTTTAATACTGCTGGCCAAATCACCCCCATCCTCCTGGGGATCAATAAATATATCTCATCTTTAATCTCTGAGCATTATACTTTTCCCTTTTAAAACTTTACATTGTTAGCATTCATGCCATGTGGTAATTATTATTATTATTATTATTATTGACGAGTAATTATAGTTAAACCTGACAGAGAGCAGGCTGAAGTGTACGCTAGTGTGTATTGGTGTGTGGGGTGGGGGGGGCGGACGGGTAGGTGGGCTGGAACGTGGAATACATTTTGTCGAGTTAACCACCAACTGAGACGCTTAACAGGATGCTGCCAGACGGTCATGACCCAAAAAATAAAAACAAACTATATATGCAGATTTAGCTTCAGACAAATTGTATTTACCAACAAAATTGTGACACCGAATTATTCCGTTAATACTAGGTAATGCCGTAATGACCTGCATATTTTTTTAAAAAGAGTGGATCGGTGAAGCTTTTTTATAACTATATAGATATGCTCTGGTTTTCAAGGCTTGTCTGAATACAGATCAAGGAATTTAAACAGGTTTGGACATTTTTATCCCGTTAAAAAAACTTTTAAGTCTGCGGTGGTGTCGTTTTTTATCTTTTATACGATTTTCCTGGATGACAAATGGAAAAGTCACGGGCGCTTGTGGAAATCTGCCAGAAATATTCGTACTGCAAAGGATGCTGTTGCTTCAGTAACCATAATACAAATTCGTTTTGTTAAACGGTGCAACAATAATTATAATTAAAAAAAAAACAAAAATAACTAACTTCATCCAACCTTTGTTGGAGGACATTGGTATTTACGGACAGCACAATTTCCGGATTACTATGCAATTACACTTGTTCCCGATTATTTTGATTTTGCACATAACGGAATATACCGATTTCCTGCAACGCGTCGTTGCACAGCTGCGGGACCATCGTAAGTATATTTGGGATAATGATGCTCATTGAGGGTATTGAGCTGTGAATGAAGAGCTTTCTGACCATATCTGATGTGCCTGTTTTTACAGCAGTTGTACTGTTATTTAATTCTTCCCTACAGATATAAATCGATTACTATAATGCATAACGCATAGGGAGTCTCGAAGTTTGACAATTTGGACGAGTAGATTCAATCTTGTTTATAGGACTCGTGTTTCTTTGGTTTTGTTGTGTTGATATTTAATCGTCAACTGCGCTAATTATGAAGATAATTACGTTCGGCAGATACTTCATATTAAAAGAATAGTGGCTTTTTTTAAACACGTCGATTAAAAATAATGCAGTTTTACATTATGACAATACATTCCAAACTTCTCGTATGAATCAGGTAATGTTTCCAATATTTGAGAAAGGTCACGTTAGTTAATTACTGTATATTTGTTCGCTCCATCTCAACTAATAATACGTCTACTCTGGGCAGCTGCAGTGATCTTCAAATTATTGGCAAACATTAAAGACCGCAGTGCGCCTTACGTAATAAGGTACAAAAGATGTGCTATTTGAATAATATAAATTTGAAATATAGGACCGTGACTATTGACTAAAAGAGCAAGTAAATTGTTGTATGATTACTTTAAAAACCATTAGGCTACATCATTTGGATGCGTTCCCGTCTTGTCATAAGTACACATACTGTAGGTTATGTACGGTTATTAATTTTACTTCTATAATAAAAAGGACATTCATATCATAGTAATGATTTCAGTTGATTGAATAACTTACATAGCTGATTTAAAACGTACCTATAATTATCAGAAACCATTAAGAAAAATTTTAGATTTGTTTTACATGTACAGCTGCGGAAATAATTGAGACCACTGCACATTTTTTAGTTTCACTTATTTCTCAATTTATGGCTCTGCGTCTTTGAATAATACATATTTTTTGGCAAACTGCAGCCTGGTTCTTTGTTTCTCGTTGATGAAGAGCTTCTTCCTTGCTTTATGGGACTTCAGTCCCGCTCTAGGAGCCTGATCCTAACTGTCCTAGCAGTGCACTTCACATCTGCACTTAATGTTTCCAATTCACTTTATGTCATCCTTCGATTCATGTCGGATAAGTTAACGGTCATCTCTGGCATTAGAAAGTCACTTCCACCTTTTACCTGGCTGGTTTCTGGTCGTTCCCAGTTTTTCCTGCCTCACCTTATTCTTGTGTACTGCCATTTTAGAAATTTTGAACCTGGAAGCATCCTGCTGCCCAGCGTAGCCTTCTGCCAACAGAACCAGGATTAAACCAGTATTTAAAAATGCAGATTTGTTTAAAAATATAATGGTCTCCCTTTTTTCGAAAGCTGTATAATAATGAAAAACATTTCATAAAAATGCAAAAAAAAAAAACCAACTATTATACGAGAACTGAGTGCTCAAAATCTAAGCTTTTGGTGGGAACCTGTGAGAACAATATACTTCAGCGCTCATGTTCCGAAATGAGAAGATCTCCTTCACTGTGAATGACAGTGAAGCGGTTGCTCGTTTAGACCTGCACCTGTGAGTGCAGCAGATTCATGCTCAGTGTCACGCAGACACCACCAATGTGCAACTGTAGGGGATGCAGGACCAGATCAAACTAGAGATGCACAGAACTACAGAAAAAAAAGCCTTTTTCATGAACATACAAGCCAACAGAAATTAATCTGGCCCAACATAGGCACACAGGAAACGTGTAACATCAGATCCCTCTACTCCACTAACCCCCACCCCCGCAGCAGGGACTCCTGAGGAATTCTGTGGGGAATTGGAGAGGGACCGCGGCTGCCTGACATGTTCACGCACCAATGGCTGCCTGACATGCAAGCCCCGGTACTTTTTCCTCCTGGTGCGCCATGACATGAGGCAGACGGGCCTGTGTCTGCTCTCTTGCCCCAACGGATACTATCACACCCGCTCTCGAGACGTCAACAAGTGCATGAGTAAGTCCTGCTGATTGGGTCAGAGAGATAACCAGAAAATATCAGACTGATAAATCGGACTGTAGAAGAGGTGGGTCTAAGCAACTAGAGGAGGTGGGACCAAGACATCTGATTGGTTGGTCCTGCCTCCTCTACAATATGACTGGTTATGTCTCTGAACCAATCGGTTTCTTTTTCTACATTTTTGCAAAACTCCCATGAGGTAGGAGAGGAAGTGATTGAAATCTGTAAGGCTGCATGAGTGTCTGGAGTGATGATGAGTGATCTCCATAAATGCAAGTAAGACGGTGCCCCTCCCTCTGTCCCAGAGTGCCACCTGGACTGCGACTGCAACTTCACAGGCACCTTCTGCACACGGTGCAGGGAAGGGCAATATCTGCACCGAGGGAAGTGCCACAGGGGCTGCCCAGAAGGGCTGGTGCCAGACAGCACGTTGTGGGAGTGCATCCCTGCTAAAGGTGTGCAACTGAGGAAACTCCCTCCCCCTTACAGTGATGTCACTGGGAACAGTAATGCAACTATTGCACACTAATGCGTCACTCTCATAAATCAATACTGCATAACTGTATGGAGGTCTGTGCTATTCTATTGCGTTAGTTTGTGAATAATAACATTTATTTACTTAAATGCACCTTAACAATCCAGCCTACACCACACTTGTTCTTCACCACTACTTCTGCTGTTCCAGCCTCGGACCTCCAGTCTAAAGTGCTTGGTTTTCATCGCTGTTCTGATAATATCACCCCACAGGGAAAGCATCTGAAATGAGCCATTTGATCATTATCTCATGGATTTGATTGATTGCAGGTTAGGGTTATGTTAGATCTATACCTACTAGAGGAAGCACTGCAACATTTGTGCACAGTAGTTCTATGTTCATAAAGAGATCGTTAACAAAGCGTCCTCAACAAAACCCCACACCCTAAGCACTACGGCTTGCAAGTACCTTTTTCTTAAAAACCCAACAACTCCTCCTCTCACCCAGCTGGGTCACGTCCATCTCACCCCCAGTAAAGACAACAGGATCTTCTCCCTTCAATATAAACGGGCATTTTCCTGCCTTCTCTGTCTCCCTCAGTGTACTGTGAAGTGAATGAGTGGAGCACCTGGAGCGCATGTTCTCACAGAGGAAGTACGTGTGGATTCAGGGCAGGTGAACAGACGAGGGTTCGACGCATCCTTCAGCTACCATCCAACGGCGGAAATCCCTGTTCTGTCACCTATGAGACCAGAGAGTGTTTCATCAGGAGGAAGAAATGTCCAGGTAGCCAAATGCCTTCAGATAAATACACTAATTTCAGCAGCAAGCAGGATATGCTGTACCCCAAAGACAGTCTGTGTTTTTGCTCCCTCCCAGCACCCTACTGGGAGCAAAAATGTGGACAGTCATGCAGAGAGCCTGGATGGAGCAAAAACATGGAGCATCTGGGGGTTCTCAAGGACCGGGTTGGGAAACACTACTTAAGAGCACGCAGATGGGAACATAAAGAAGTACAACAATGAACTGCTCAAATTTGTCAGCATAATTCCACAAAGTCTGTGTTTGACTCATCATGAAAAGCTAAGGCGTCATCCATTTGCATGGGAATGTATCTGCTGGCTGTAGCTTAATGCCATTCTCACAGCATAATGGGCCTTGCAGCTGACATTCACCACTTATTAAATTAGTTAATTAGTTAGTTAGTGTAAGAGGAAGGACAGTAAACATGACTGCCCATCAGGAATAAGCCAGTGTAATTTAGGGGTCTAATTGGATTAGCACAGTGGTCATCCTGTTTTTTTATATTTTACATTTATTATTTTATCAGTTTCTCATTTTTTAAATTTCCTTTTATTAACTAAAAATGTGTTCCCACATTCTGTCAGCCCCAATCATCGCTAACCTGGAAGATACCGATAATAACCAACTTAGCACCCCCTGGTGGTATCACAAGGCGTTACACTCATTGCCATGTCCTCCATTCCTTTAAAAAGTGAAGTGATCAGGCATCGCTGACTTACTCTAGCACACAGTGCACAACAACGAAACTTGTCCCCTGCATTTAACCCATATGTGACATCGTGATGTAGCAGGGGGCAGCTAATTCAGGGAGCAGTTCCTTGCTTGTCGGGGATTTGAACCAGTAATCTTTCAATTACAAGTGTGCTTCCCTAAAGAATAAGCCCCCATGGCCCACCACTGAATGTCTATCTTCTTATCTGGATCAGCGTCTTGGGGAGGGTTTTTTGTAAGGAGCCTGTCCACACTGTACACACTGGATAATCACAGACATAAAGCAGTAGCCTAACTGTATGTCTTTGAACTGTAGGAAGGATCTTGGATCCCAGTATAAACAGGGGTTACGGCACAACAGTGTTATGATTATTCTGCCAGCTACAATATTTGAACCTTTCCAGACATGAGCACAGATCCCTACCGCGCTGTGGAAGAGCACACAAGCTCTGCAGACAGGCACTACAAGCAGGAATCACGCCCCTAACCTTGCAGCTGTGAAGCTACAGTGCTACTCACCACACCACCTGCTCCCGCACGTCCCCCAAAACTGATTATGCGGAAGAAGAACAACGCTAGCAGAACCAAAGGGAGTTACAAATTATTTAACACTGGTGTAAATCTCACTGCTGAGTCAGAGGAGTAAATCCATAGCCAGCGGACTTGTGATGTCCTCAGGCTCGGTGTTTTAGCTGGAATGTCATCCTGTCCCATTTCAGCTGTTTCTAACGCTGGTCACCATTCTGTTTGTGTTCTTCTGTACAGGGAGACTGCACAGAGAAAAACAGAGGGGCAGGAAGAGAAAGTGGGAAGGTGAAAATATGCGACTGAAAGGAGAGGGAGGCAACGGCAGAAAAAAGACACGGGGGACTCAGCAAACGCATACAGCACACAATATAGAGGCGGCAGGGGGGCAGAACGGGAGTCAGCACGGGAGTCAGCACCTAATAACAGATGGCACACAATAACATCAACCACTGTGCCAAGCGCTGCAGACAGGCAGAGGTGGAACATTCAGGCCCAGAAAGTACAAATCCAGACCAAGGTTTTGTTTCAACCAACCAATTTAGCATAGAGAGTCGCAATCAATGAGTACTCAATTGGTTGGTTGAAAGAAAACCTTGGTCTGGATTTGTACCTTATGGACTTCAACTTCCCACCTCTGCAGATAGGAATACTGTTGTAAAGTTAATAATACAATGTATGTGCATGACAGACAATGTTAACCATTCAGGGAAAAACAATCACTGCAAGAATCCTAGCTCTCCAAGTCGGAATGAGGGATACAGCGTACAGGAGTACACACATATTCAGAATGGGAATATTTATATACTTTTGCTGCATATGTAAAGTAACGCAACAAAATATAATTAATGCCGGTGTAGAATGACTCTACTTCTGTTGCTGCATTTGCATATCTTACATACTTATATTTGTATGTGAACATCTCCAATATACACATTCAATAAAAATCTGAGTTTTCCATTTCTTAGACGCTGTGAATTATTCTAAAATATTTTTTCGAAACAGTTTTAGAACATTATATTTACATTTTATATTGACATTTAACAGATTTTTTTCTATGTCCACTTTGCTGCTTAAAACAATACGGTTAATTTACCGTACCCAACCAAGCGACGGGAGTGAGTTTCTAAAGACTAAACCCAAATGTCACAGATGGGTTCAAGACAACGCAGCAGGCTGCAAAAAGCTGTTTAAGATACTCTCCATTGGTATCCCCGGATATCTGGCATCGAATTTTGTAGTGCGTAGCGTCGTAAGTAAACGCGATTGCGTCATCGCGTTGCGTGTGACGTCCGTGTGTTTTTTTAGGGAACAAGAGAAAGTAGGGGTAGGAAAGGGATTCTGTTAAATCCGTAATCAGGCTGTAATAATCGTAAATATCGTTGCGTGATTAACTGGTTACAGATGACGGGAACTGCGGCTTGCTGAGGGGCGCAGGATTCGTGACAGGTGAGCTGGGGGTGTGCTTGGACGCAGTGAGCGGCGTAGGGTGGGCTGTGATGGCCGAAGCTGGTCATACACACAACAGGTTTTATTGTTACGGCTGGGCATGAAAGACGCGAGGCCGCCGAGGTGCTTCTGCCTCTGCCGACGGACCGATCCTGTCCGCTGGCCTGGTTATGACTGGGCCGTTTTGAGGTCTGAGGCATGTTTTTATACCCCTTCTGGTTTCGGTTGCGGGTTAGTCATTTTTAATTTTTTTGTTTGTTCTTACTGGGCTTGTGACACCTCCTCCTCCATTTCAATGAGCTGGTGCTGCCAGGCTATCTTGGAGACAAAGACAAGCCGGGATCTGAGCACCATCGAGCTCCTGGAAGCGGGCCGGGCGGCATTGCGCGGTTCGGCCAGCGAGTACGGTCCTTTAGGGGTCATTTTTGGTCCGGCGCCTCGATGCACCTTCCGGCTGACCGCACGCGCACCCGGATGGCCGCGCTGTCCTCCGTTAAGTGCCACTTTAAATTGGGTCGCAGTTACAGTGTTTCTCACTTAAGGCCGCCGGATCGTTTTGATTTCATTATCAAAACACCAGCGATCAGTTTTTTTTCTTCAGTACTCCAGGGACCAGGAGCCCCACCCTCTTTAGTATTATTGTACCATTCAGAAGTGTGTGTGAAGGTTTTTTTTATTTGGTTATTTAAAATACCTGTCATAGACCGAAGGTCAAACCCGTTCAGCTGGTTTTAATTGGTTTTCGTCTTTTTAAAATCACGTTGTGTCTTCGCCGTCGTTTTATTTCGACTCTATTTCTTTTCCTGGCCGATTTGTAACTGCAGTTAATAGTCGCTTTTGAATACAACGCGACTAAACAGAAATTTTCCCAAGTCGAATCCGATGCATTTCCATCACTGTCCTAACGTTTTGTCATGATGGTTTTGCTGGAATCTGTTAAGGATACTCAAGGGTTGCTATGGTTTGTGGGGTATATTACTAGATTAGATTACTTATAATAATTGGGTTATACACTACTCACAAAAATACTTTCGGGTGATATTTCAGAATGAACCTAAAATTCACTATAACCTTACTATACTATAACAGGTGAACTTAATGTGACCTTCCCTGAACTTTTGAATGCACATGTCCAACTGTTCAATGTTTCAGCTTGTACATAATTTTCTGTTCTCTAACAAGGACCTTAACAGCAAAATTCACAACAGGTGTTTGATCCATGAATCGACCAATACATTTCCTGGTTCCATAAGAACTGGTATTCAAACAGTCCTCCTCGTCAAGCTGTTCACATTTTGACATCATGAGACTAAGGCGACGCCTAACAATTGAGCACCAGTACCTCGCCATCGCGAGGCTTCAAACAGGATGTTCTCAGACGTAAGTGGCCACTGAGCTTAGAGTGTCATCAGCAGGTTGCAACAGAGATACAGAGAGACTGTAAGGGTCACAGAAAGGCATAGAAGTGGACAAGCCCATACTACCTGAATAACATCATTAATCCAGTCATTGTGCCACTGCATGAACAACACAGGCCTAATTTCATCTTCATCTCCAGCTCATCCAGGTTGGCTCATTAGGTAACGGCTGCTGGAGATTGGGGTACCTCAAATGGAGTGGCCTGCACTTTCTCCAGACCTGAATCCCATAGAAACCCTATGGGATCAGCTGAGTCGCCGTACACAGGCTCATAACTCTGTACCCCAGAACCTCAATGACCTGAGGGCCGCCCTTCAATAAGAGTGGGATGCCGTGCCTCAGCAGACAATAAGTCGACTTGTGAACAGCATGAGACGCCGTTGTCAAGCTGTAATTGATGCTCAAGGGCACATGACACGTTATTGAGACATTGACATTTTTGTTGTGGTACATTCACCACTGCTGTTGGCATTTGTTTCCATAAATTGTTTGAGATGAGGAAATCACCATTGCATGATTTTACTTAAATCCCCTACTTTCATGATGTAAAAAGTTCACACTACAGCGATATTATATTTTCCTCAAATTTCACCCGAAAGCCAAATATTCCTAACTGTTTGTGAGTAGTGTATATTACTTTATATTTTCTCTGACTTGCGCATGCTGCTTTCATAAACGTTGGTGTTTCTACAGCCGAAATATAGATACTCAGAGAAATTGTAATAAGATCTTCACCCAGAAATATGTTTGCGGTTTTCTGTTGGTATTACTCCACAGATATTCCAAATTTAATACATGCATAAACAGGAATTTACCTGGATTACGACTGTGAGCAACCAACACGCCTACTCACCTTGCATAGCTTATTCTGAAACAAGAAGCAGAAGAACCTGCTTTATGTAATGTAAATTCTTTGATGAGATTTAAGATGGTATACATGGGTGATCAGAGTAAAGAGAACGCCACCTCACTTTAAATTTGAAGAAATTAAGTCATATTTTACAGCTGTAGCTAGAACTGTGACTCATATTAGCTTGAATGACAGATAGCAGCGTGTCACCGGAGTTCTGACAATCAGCACAACATAAGGCAACTAAAGTTTCCAAAGAGGCCGTACAGTCTGTGCTCAAATCGCACGTGCATTGGTTTCTGAATTTGCTAAAATTAATGTGCTATGAGGGAATAGTATAAAAAAAAACATACTAAACATAGACAAACTACCAGTGCAAACTGCAAAGTGAAGTCACTGTCACAAGTCTAAACTTATTGACATGGATGGATATGTAACAGAATTAGTTACTTAACACCACAAAAAGCACAGTTTCAAAAACTACAGTAGACCAGTCAGCACCTTTGTGATCCGGTCTCAACAACTCATCACGAGTGTCGTGAGTTTCACTGTGCTGGAATTTGCTCGGAGCTGTTCTGAATGCAAAGGGTGGTCATGATCCTTGATATTAAAATATTGTTACATGTTTCCGTTACTTTTGTCCGTCACCTGTATCTGGGTCATGGTATGACGTTTGGATAAGAGACTCCAGATCTGCCAGCAATTTAAAGGTTTTTCTGAACGATTACAAGTTTTGTGCATGTTTAATGCCTCGCAAATACCTATCAAAAATAGAGCACCCCTAGGGTTTGGGCCTCTGCTAGATAACCCGAGTCTATCTGCTCTGAAGTGCATTGATGTGTCTTGTGCAGGATGGCTGGCTGTGGTGAGGTTGACCAGTCTGTCAACATGCTTCCTTCAAGCCGGAAAGGAGGTGGGGAGGCGTGCTCTGGCCCGGGCAGCTCGTCCCCCGCCCTTCCAGTCCCGGAGTGCGCCATCTGCCTGCAGACCTGTGTCCACCCGGTGCGGCTCCCCTGCCGGCACGTGTTCTGCTTCCTGTGTGTGAAGGGTGCCTCCTGGCAGAGCAAGAGGTGCGCCCTCTGCAGGCAGGAGGTCCCCGAGGATTTCCTGGAGCGGCCCACCTTACTGTCACCCGAGGAACTGAGGGCGGCGGGCCGTGGCCACGGGGACTACGCCTGGTACTACGAGGGCCGCAACGGCTGGTGGCAGTATGACGAACGCACCAGCCGCGAGCTGGAGGACGCCTACGCCAAGGGCAAGAAGAGCACAGAGATGCTGATCGCTGGCTTCCTGTATGTGGCGGACCTGGAGAACATGGTGCAGTACCGCCGTAACGAACATAGCCGGCGCCGCAGGATGAAGCGGGACATCGTGGACATCCCCAAGAAGGGGGTAGCGGGACTCCGCCTGGACACAGAGACAGGGGCAGCAACACCCGATCGGGACAGCTCGGCCGACGGCGCGGACGCTGCAGGATCGCAGGCAGGGTCTGTCCAGGCCCCCACTAGCCCCACATCCCCCTCCACTGACAGCAGCTCTGTCGAGAGCTCCCTCGCCCAGCTGCACATTTCCCTGCCGGCCAGGCAACATCAGCCCAGGGCTGAGGAGGAGGAGGATGAGGACGAAGAGGACGAAGGTGGGGAAGTTGCCCCAAACACCTCTGTGGACGAGTCTGAGTCAGGGAGCAGCGAAGAAGAGGAATATGAGTACTACGGACGGGAGGAAGCCGACCACGACAGAGCACCAAGTAGGCAGGGATTGCCACTGCAGGTTAATTTAAGAGAGAGCCAGGGGGATTTGTCGCCCCCTGGTGCTGAGTCGTCCAGCAGCAGCGGCGGGGCTGGGAGCAGCAGTAGGTCAAGGAGACCCGATGGTCAGTGTACTGTGACTGAAGTGTAACCTTTGACCTTCCTGGTCTCAAACCAACCCAACAACTGGAACAAGAAAGTTGCACTAAACAAGGTTAACCTCCACATTTCTAAAACTTGCTATTGTCTGAGTAACTAGGCACACCTGTGGTGGGAGGGAGGGAAGACCAAACTTACCAATAAAGAAACAAAACTAATAATAATTAAAAAAAAAAAAAACTTAATGGAGACCAAGTGTTTTGCGGGAAAAGGTGTCTTTTCAGAGTAAATCTTATGTATCTATTAATAGGGCTGATATTTTTTAGTGGTTTATTTTGTCAGTGTTTAGGCTGTTATGGACTCATTAAAAATGTATATTATGCTATTTCCTTCTG